TTAGGATATCGAACATCGCCTTTCTGTTGATTGAGTCGAACGCTTTCTTGAAATCGACGAATGTGACGAAGAGTGGCAATTGTTTGTCGCTTGCGCTTTCGAGGAGCCTGCGAATGACGTGTATCTGGTCGATACAGCTCTTTCCTAATTTTGATTTTCTAATTTATAGAAAATCAAAATCGAATTTCCGGATTCTCGGAAACTATTTATAGTAATTCGATTGATTTTCTATAAACGAGAAAATCGCCGTCGATTTTCCAGTTTATAGAAAATCCTCAGCGATTCAACTTTGACGGTTTCTACTTTAGATCACAATTCTGCCTATGCCAGCACGGATTTTGATTTAGGCAGAGACAGTGATGGCGCGAAGTTTTGGTAGCAAGGTCCGAAAATCAGGGACGTTCACTAGAAATTTCTCAAAAGCATGGGCGGGATCAACCACCATGCAAAGTTGATTCGCAGCTTGGACTTTCACGAAATTTTGTAGGTAAAGACAGCAAGTTTCACGACAGTTTGGTCGTGTTGTTGCAACATCACACGCGTGAAAAATCTTCACACGTGTACACAAGTGAACAATTTTCACGCGTAATTACATGTAAAAAAATCTTGACCATGCTGACCATCTATAGTCAACTGACTTTACATGGTCACCATGGTCAAGGTATAATGCAGATCTCATCAATGCAACTTCATCTATAACTTCTTTCACGTGTGACCACTAGTTTCTAAAATATCACACTTTATATATATCACCATAAAGTAAGAGTCGAACCAGGGTACTTTGAATTAGAAATCTACGATACTACTATTGAGCTAACTTTCCTGAGAAACTACTGAATAAATCTCATATTCATAGTTGTCGAATCAATTCTCACGAGTTACCACGTCTAAAAAAGTTCCCACGCGTGATTACTTGTGAACTTCCTAAATCTTTTTTCTTAGTTTCCAACTTTTCCAAACTTTTTTAGTTAATATTTCTTCCCCGAGAACAAGATGATTCCCAGGCATTTTTCTACAACAAATACCTTCGGTCTACAGCAAAGGTTTTCATTTGTATGTATGTACAACTTTCGGAAGATATAGGAGAAATTTGTATTTATGCTTGCCGCTCAATCTTCACGACATTTCGCACCTATAAAAAGATTTCTCACGTGGACGCGCGTGAAACGTAAGAATTTTGTCGCTTGGGATTAAGCGTGAATATTATTCACGAAATGAGTTGCGTGAAAAACTGACATGCGAATAAATGTGAAGATATTTTTCACAATGAAATTAGTGGGAAACATTTTCATGCGTGTCCGCAAGTGATATTTTTTTAAGGAAATTTTAACATGAGAAATTCACGTGTGGCCACTACACATATCACGACTTTCACCTTTAATCACGTGCAAAAAATATGACGCGAAACGTTTTCGTGACCAGTTCACCCGTTGTCACAAGGAGAATATAGTTTTCACGCGTGCTCACACACCATTTTACGATGTTCAGGTGCGACCACAATTCATTTCACTATATTCATGCGTGTACACACCGCGGTACCTACTAAAATTTCCCCATGGGCACCTCTATAGAACATCGAATTTATGGAAAATCAAGTCGATTTTCTATAAAGCAGAAAATCAACATTTCCTAGAAAGCTGGAAATTCGTCGTGGAATTTCTATAAACTAGAAAATCCCGGGCGATTTTCTATAAACTGGAAATTAATTCAAGATTACAGTGTAGTATATAGTAAACACTAATTCTTCGAAAAATTTCAAACTTATTTTCATAGGTGATGAGTAATGTCTTAGACATTTCTGTGCTGAACAAGAGATATTTAACGACATTCCGAGTCTGATGGTTACGTTGGAAAGTCTCCAGATGGTCTACAGGAACTTTCTGGGTTTGTACGGTTTTTTGCACAGCATGAGCGATTAGAGAGCAGCACACCTAATTTTTGCATATACAGAACGAGCTTGCAGTCTTGATGTCTTTCACTGATCAGGAGAAAAACTGGTTCTGACCAGGAAAACAGGCAAGGCTCGATTAATTCTGTCACAGTATTCATTAGATATGATCTGATTCATCAGGTCATGTCAATACACCAACATTCTATTATAATTATAAGAAAACAGCTCGTTCTCCAGTGTCAATTGGATTCAGCTTTTCCTTTTGATTACGAAGTGATTTTCTACTTGCTTTGTTTTGATTCATTAAATGCACATTACATCTAAGAAAATTCAATTCGTCTCATAGTGTTATATTCCCTTTAAATAATAACAAGAAAAAAAATAAAATTTCATAAAGGAAAAGAAAAGCCATCAAATAAATAAGATTTGTTATTAAAAAAACATTATACGATAAGTCAAAAAAAGATTATAGAGAATCGAATTTTTTGCGTGGAAAGAATAATTTTTTGATTACGCTTTCGGTACGTCTATAACGTAACGTCTATATAAGGTAGATACAAGAGATCAGAGTGCATATTTGTATTAGGTTTCGACATGTAAGTAATATCAGATCTAATAAGGAAAACATCAGGAAGGACTACTCAACAAAATAACTAGAGTACTTTAATCTTTCAAGTGTTGCGAACTTAAAGTTTTGTATTCATAACCAAAGATATAAAAACAAAAAAAGAATCATTATCGTCACGATCAGGCAATAAATTAACTGTTGAGATTCTTAGCAGATCTATAGAATCTGGATCGCCTGCTTTTATTTGTACGTTTAGAGTATAAATACACATTAGAATGTTGAAAGGTCGCCGGACGAATTTAATGATAGCTGTGATAATGCTTTTGGTAGTAGTAACTCCATCAGTTGAAAGTGCTTATGCTCAATGGATTCAAGCGAAAATAATAAATAGAAGTCCTAACGCAGTTGTGATAAAAAATGGACAATTAAAATGGGGTAAATGGTATGATAATGGAGGAAATAAAGACCAAGTAGTACAAGCACCAAATGTAACCGTTAATGCACATTCGGCAAAGGTAACTAATAGCAAAAATTGACCATTATAAATTTTCCAGTATTTTATATAGACTGGAAAATGTCCTGTTTTTCAGATAACTATGCTTGCATATACGCACTCCTGTGACGCATATGTTCTCGTACATGCCCGTTAGATCCATCATGATCGATTTTGCTACAATTTTTAAGTAAAACGCATTTAACAGAATCAAACCGTATGTTTTCCCAAAACTGTTTTTCACTTTCAGAGCTTTCGTCACATGCAAGAATTCTCACTAACGATATATCGGAGAAAGATAATTTTTGTTTTTGATTTGCAGATAACACCTATAGCTAGAATTTGACAGAGTTCGATTTTTAAATTATGCTTCCATTTTTTATCGAAATGAAGATTACTAAGAAACCTTCCAAGGATTTTTCAAATTTTGAAGTTCTATTAAGCATCAAAAATCAAAAAATGCGAAATTCAGAAATCGGGCTCTGTCAACTACTAGCCATAGGTGCAAAACAAAAAGAACCTGTGCTCTCTGTCATTTACCTGGAATGAGAATTCTTGCATGTGGTAGAAGCCAGCTTTTGCCCCTTGTTGTGAGACCCCCTCACGAACAGCTGCATCTGGCGTCTTAAAAAAAATTTCGTTATCACACTTTGACATGGTCAACATTCCCTGAAAGTTTGGTTGACCTACCTGGACTGAGATAGGTTGCTGACCCGGGGAGGGAGCCTTAAAAATATTGTGTATAATAGGTCTATGCAACTTTTTAAATCGATCTATTATTTATAAAATTACTTATCAGCATATTTCTCTTTTTTGTAGATTGCATTCTCGTCTAGTGGTCGAAGTTGGTCTGCTTCTGGTACACAAGGTTCCGTTGAACTTTGGTCACAGAGTGTGAAGATTGGTACTTTTGTATGGGATTGTCCGTGGGGAAGCAAAACGAACAGTTATGACATAACAGACAAAGGAGCAGATTATGTAATTAGCGTAGATGGTGGAAGCCGTTACGGTGGGGCAATTGGCATTGTTTCGATTACAGTAGCCTATGTTCCTGTTAATAGCTAAGACGACTGAAGGTTACGACTCGTCGGTTCCATCCGTAAACTGTAGTTCTTTATTTTTTTTAGAAAATATTGCTGTAACATTTTGTTTTATATAAAAACGAACAGGAGCAGAGAAATGTTTATTAATTTATCCTACGCTTTATTTAGTACCATATTGAAATTCATAATACAGTGCTAAATGCGGTAAAGATTCTCAGGTTTCTTCCAGAATGAGAGGTCATTCTGTAGGACAGTTTTCGATTAGAAAAAGTTCTGAAGTTCTTCTCCTAGATTCGATCTGCCAACCGATATATAGCTGGAGAAGTGCAGTGTATTAAAATTCGGTCGATCGAATCTAGGAGAAGAACTTCAGAAATTGTTCTAATGAGAAGTCATGTTCATAAACAATAGGAAATGAATTTATTGATTGAATTCTTAGCTTTATATAAAAGTTTATGGCCTATGCCTTCATCGGAGCTGGATAGGTCGCAGGTTACACAAGTCAAGTCAAGTCACAGATTGTTAGCTTGAAAATTTCCCATGAACCTGTGAGCTCCTGCTCTTTGTTGGGGTAGCATGTTTTCTTTTCATATATCAACGATAACCGTAAGCAGAAACAATGATCTAATGAGTTTAACGTAGTTTTAGGAACATTTTTACTAGGGATAAAATGCTAAAAATTCGTTAGATTTCTATTTATCGTTAAAAAATTCCAATAAACTCGTTAAAATTGAAACTTTCAGGTTTTTAGCGGACAAAAAACATTTAATGTCAGAAAATACACTCAAAAATGTTGTATTGCGATTTAATGGCAGTTTTCTTCACCAAAAGCCACATGTATCTCTAAAGACAAGACTTGAAGTTTTCAAAATCCTGATATGTGGCGGTGATATTAGAATGCACAGTGAGATATTAGTGTTAAAGCTAAATTGTTAATATGTTTAGACGATCTTTATCAGATGACACACATTTCACATAATGTGGCACCAAATAACATTAATTCAATGTTATCTGTACTATTCAAAAGACTTGAAAACTTGTATTAGCCAATTAAATTATTTTACGTTTAAAGTGTAATATGATAAAACTGTGATCCATTTAAGCCTTGAAGGCGTGTGTATGTGTGGGATATATTCAAGAAAACAAGAAACGAAGGGATGAGAAAGGATTCTCTGAGCTAAACTATAGTGGAACTTCACGAATTTACACCACTAATCTAGAATAAATATCAAAAATTGGACTCTAGTAGCCTCTAGCCACATGTGCCAGATTCAATTTAAGACTTTCATGAGCCCTTTGTAATTTCTCATTACCGAGAAACTTGCAGCTAAGAAATGGTGTTAAGGTGAAAGTTACTTTCGAGATACGGTGGCAGTAGTATCTGATACATATTTTAGGGCTTCAGGTAAAACTCTCATACTCTTGATCATAACATCAGTCAGAGCTGAGAGACATCTCATTTTGATCAGAAATGTTTGCTCTATTTTGTGGTGTTGTTGGAAGTGCTTTTGGATTTGTTTTTTATCTCAAAGTAAAAGTTTTTCGAGATGTCAGCTATTGAATGTTTTCAGAAACAGATTTCATGGACCCTGTTTTCTTTAAACCAGGACACTCCATTATATATGTAAAAAAAACAAAGGATAGCCGAATAGTCCTACTCTAAAACGCTAAGATTCAGTTTGGGATTCATTACAGAAATGAGCTGTTGTGGAGAACAAAGGACAGAATTGAAAATCCTAGAGAAATCGATTCCTCCTCTTTTTTTCTTTCCCTTTACCACATATCGACAGAGAATTGAATTTTATTCAGGTCTACATATTTTTCAACGTTACATAAAAGCTTTTAATGCAAAAACAATTATCAAGCTTTTTATGCTGAATTTGCATTTGATATTTTACTTTCGATGGAAAAAGCGTACTACGATATTCTTTTTCAAAATGATCTGATAGAACTCGTCAAGCTGATGAAGAATATATGTAAGAGTTTGATTGGAAAAGCAAGTGGGTACAGCAAGTGGGCTTTTAATTTAAATATTGTCTGCTCATCGGTTGTTATCGACATCTTGTACTGGAAAATCAATTTTTTCTCTCTGATGTGAGCTCAAATGACAACTCATTTTTGTTGTAGTCATTCGCATGTGAAAAATCGTAGAAGAATAATAGAAAAGTTGATTTAAAATTCCTGGATGAAACAGATATATTCATAACAACTCAAATAAGAAGCAACAAAGCAGCACTACTCAGCGCCATTTGAAAGAGGAGACTTGTAGTCGTGTTTTCATTAGTGAAGAACGTTTCGTTCTAAGGAGATCTGTGTGAGACCGGGCTATAGACCAGAAAGTTGAAACAGAAAGCCATTGACTGTTCTCACGAGAGATAGTCTAGAGTGTCCACTTTGCAATCGAAATACTCCGATCTCTTCATGTTTCTATCGTTTACGTTGACATCAATAATGACAACATTCGAGCTCTATTGCGAGAAAGCTTGACATTTAATTTAACGCTACAAATTAAATGTTCAGTAAAATTTGTTCAGTATTATATACAAATTTTCAGTAAAGAAATCAAACTATCAGTATGAAATTCAATGTTCGGTAACTATTACGTTGGTTCAGTTAACTAATTGTTTGCTCAGTATTAAAGTTAAAGTTTCAGTAAGTAATTCAGTTTGCTGATTCAAAATGAGCATTTTTATTGAAAAATAATTTGATATTCAGAATCAGCGTAAAAGGCTGCATCGAATGATGTATAATTTGTAAGATTTAAGACTAACGGAATCCTAGACCTGAAGCATTAACGCGGCAAATTTTGACTACGTGTTTTGATATTTATTTTAGCAGCCGTGCAGGCAGGCCACAAATACTATTTTTATAGGTTTTTTTAGATATGCTCTTTTCAGTGTTGTGGTTTATTATTACTGTCACTATCTGTATCTGACCTATCATCCAAATCTGACATCCAGTCCAGTGACCAGTGTTGTTTCTTCTTCGTATCCATAACGTTATTCAGAGATTTTATTGTTTCACAATTCATCTCAGTTGTTAATAAATAGATTCACTCAACCTAAGTACGTTTGATAGTATTTTGAACAGTATAGAAATGATGTAAAGCAATAACAGATAGATGTTTGGTTGATAGTTATGGACAACAAACTCATATGACAACTAAAGAATTTTCAAAAAATATGAGACACTGTTACGATCATATATTACTCTAATACTAGTTATTTTGCCATGTTCATTTCATATCTAACTAACTTCATGACAACTACTAATAATACACAGTGGACAACTTTGGCTAGGCAAGTGGACATATGCCATAGAAGCAGTGGGACTACTACAAATACTATTTTAATAGGTCTTTTTAGATATGCTCTTTTCAATGCTATAGTTTACAGCGTCCAATATATTTTCTGGGTTATCTGGACATTCGGATCTCTAGAAAACCTACTTGAAAACAATTTGGACGTTATAAACCACAGCATTGAAAAGAGACACTTTTGAGGAAAAACATTAAAGATGATTTATCTTGGAAACGAAGGGCTTTTTTACGCGGTTAAGCGCGATTTTCTGTTCAACAACGAATATTTTCTCCGTTTCTTTTAAATGAATTGTATGTACATACACGCAAATCACGCAATTAGCGCTTAAAAATATTTATATTTAAGCGTAGCAGCTGTTAATAGTCTTGGAAAAGTATTTATATTCTTTCTTAATACGTCTTTTGTCTTAAAGTCAAGCACGTTGTAAGTGGATAACGTCAACCCATGTATTCACCGTGAAAGTTAGACACTCTGGTGTCGCACAGCTGTAAAAGATATAAAAAATTCATAATTTTAATTGAATTCTCTTCATATTGAAAGCAAGCCCGAGGTGACAGAATGCTCTAATCGTGTGGAAAATGCGTATTTAATGAGATCAGCAAGAGTATATATCGAGCTACTATAGCTCGTTAGCTTGAAGAGCTATTAACAGACTTGCTCGTTGTTGTTTACTATCAGTGAGAGAAAGAGAAATGTGAGAAAGAGAGAACGAAGAAGATCACGTCAGAGATAATTATCTTCTTGTTTCTTAAAATGAGAATGATTGTGAAATGTATGCCTATTACGTAGAACGTGTTTCTCGATTGTTTTACACTGTTTTTGATGACAAACGAACCAAGTGGAAAGACAACTAAGAGTTCGGCTATGTTTTAGAAGTTTACTTTGTTTTTTCACGATGCACAGAAAGAATTTCGTGGTGGTGCACTCCGCTAAATTATTTTACACTTAAATTTGTTTTGATTAAAAAG